AGTTACTATTACTATTAATAATCATGATACTACCTTAATAGGAATCTCACTCTTCTTCTTTATACATAGATATTATATTAACCTAATTAGCTTAGACGAAGCAAGCTAGCTATAGGATGTCCTAATACTACTAAGAATAGTAGGTGAAACATTCATGAATTACCTATAAGAAGCTACTAATTAGGCCTAAGCTACTATTACCTCCACGCAGGCTTAATAAGAGGAGTAAATAAACTAATAATAATAGGCCACCCCCATGTATAAGAAAGATAATTAGGTTTAGTTAAACCTCTAAAACGTACGCACGTAATAACTATTAAAGAAACTAGACTAGCTACATACATGCTATTAGGTAGTGGATATCCTATTACTATATACTATTTAGCTTAATATACCTACTAGCATACACCTAGTCTTTTATATTAAACTAGTCTGCCTAGCTACTATAGACCCATTTCCATCCTAAATTATGGATAATATGTAGCCACCCCTACTACTTATTAATAGAGAAGAGGAATATAAAGTTAAACGCATCCTAGCTATACAACGCAGGAAGATAGGACGAGGATACTATAATAAAGTACTAGTAAAATAGGTAGGGTAGGCACGCGAGATATAAATAAAACTAGATTTTATCTAGGACTACATAGTGCTAGATGTCTTTAAGAAGTAATATAGCCCTATTTAAGAGGTAATTTAGCGCTAACTTAATAATAATAACCATGTTGTCGTACCCCTTATGAGGTTTAGACTAGGAGGGGGGTATTATCACGGGCTAGTGCCTAATACTAGGCATGGGCTAGCACCTGTACACGTGACCATGGCATGTTGATGGGAAGAACGTGACTAGAGAACTTCTCTTTCTTCAAGCTTTTCATACATAGTTCGTGGCCTAGCTAGATTGAATATAAGTCCGGCTTCAGCCCTTCACAGTACTAGGTTTATAAGTTTTTTATCTTATCCTATAGTCCCTTTTAGTATACTTTTCTACTAGGTCTCTAGTAGGTATCTACTATATAGTTAGACAGGCTATAGTTATTATACCTTTTTAGCTTATATTCACCTTCTTATAGGTAGTTTAATAATAGTTTTTATTTATAACCCCCTTAATTACTATAACTTTATTAGCTTCCCTATTTTAGGTTTTTTAGTTAACTAGTTTACGCTCTATATAGTTATTCTAGTTTCTATACTTATAGGAGCTTCCCCTTCTATTATATAGCTTAGAGAGCTTCTTACTAGCTAGGTATTTTTTATTCTACTACCTATAGGTAGGTAATATAGCTTTTATAGCTATTATCTATAGCGTCCTAAATAGGATACTTTACTACTTTATTCTATACTATAGGTAGTATCTTGCCTAGCAAGTCATCCTTTCTATCCTATATAGATATATTAGGTTTAAAGATATTAGTTAGTATCCTTAGGTACTATAAGAAGGATCTTATATCCTAGTTTTCTATCTATCTTACTATGCTATAGTGGATAACAGTATCTTCATGGAGGATCTATGGGTCACTAACCATCTATAGTAACGCGTTAGTAAAGACTTCCTAGGTAATAGGTGTGGTTAATGTCACCCACACGCCAGTCTAATCATGGTACTAGTCTAGGCTAATCATCCTTAGCCTACTACGCACCCTAGTTTCCTCACGTATATAGTATTATAGATAGATTTTAAAGTATACCTCTATAGTAGTCTTCTAATCCTTAAGTTCCTTTAGGCTATAGCTATTAAATAGTTTTATATCTAGTATTTAGCGTGGGAACTCTTCTTATTTTAGAGCTTAGATATTATCTTTAACTATATTAGATAGTTCTTCTATAGGTTATGGTGTTATAACTACTATAGGTTCTTAGTTAGCTATATCTACGGGCTATATTACTAGTATAGGGTGTTTAATAGGCTTGTCTTCTCTAAGTTAGTAGAGGAATTTATCTATATTCTAGCTTACTTAGCCCTCTTAAATAGCCTTAAGTTATTAGATTTTATCTCTTAATTACTTCTTATAGCGTTCCCTAGCCGCGTTCTTAATTTCTTATTAATAGGCTATATAGTGTTATTATATTTCTTATTAGAGATTCTCTATCTATTATTATAGCTCTTATTCCTTATTATTAGGTTTAGGAGATATTCTCTAAGTCTATTTACTTTTATTACTAACTAAGTCTCCTATAGCTTTAGGGACTACTTATATAGTTTCCCCCTCCTCCTAGCTAGTAGGGTTATTAGTTAGTATTATTCTAGCATCTTTACTTAATTTAATGTCTTTATTTAGATTATTTAGGGTTATTATTATAGTTAAGTTACTAGAGGCTATTTTTCCTTGAAGTCTTTAGCTCTATAATCACGTGAGTCGCCTCTAATCCTCTCCCTATAAGATTTCACTATCTATTCTACTTACTTTTAGGCTTCATGAGGGGTGAGTAATTAGAACTATAAACTATAGCTAATATAACTACGGGTAATATATATATAAAGTAGAATATGAGGCTTTAGAACATGTGTATTAATTATAGCTAAACTAATCACTAGTCTTCACTCTGTGAGGCTAGCGGCTGTAATACGTGGTTCTTGCGTCATGTGTTCCTAGTAAGCGGGAGCTGCGGCGCGCAGGTGCGGTGCCTGAGGCACCACACTGCGGGTGTGCTGTATACAGGGTCTAACATTGCTCGAGCCCCTCGAATACTTGATCAGGAGTATTGTATCTAGAAACTAATTAATAACTAGTTCTTAAGTAATAGATAGGTACTTACGTCTTGAATTAAATGCTCCGCCTCATGGAAGCGCCCACTAATAGATACAATATATGTATAACTATTAATATTAGTCCGGGGGTACTCAGGAAGGTCATCTGTATACTTAATATGTAGCGTCCGAAGGGGGTTTGATTTTGCGTCTATTAACTAAATTAGAGCACTTGGTTGCTAAGTGGTTTATAACTAGTTAGCTAGTGCTTGATAACTGATTAAGAGTCGTACCTCTTCAATTTCCTCGACATCGCTAATATTTAAAGATATATCCTCAATCTCGCTAAAACTAAATGAAATATCTTCTGAATCCATATTGTTATAGCTACTGTATTTGAATTGTAACTGGTTAGCAAGTGGTCACAAAGCACTTTGAATATTTTGAGTAACGATTAATTAAAGGGAGAAGATTGAAATTGAATTTCGCGGTATGTTGTCTGGTATTTGGAAGCTGAGGTGCCGCGCCGCTTATGCCAAGCCTGGTGGACCGGCTTGCGGCTTCTGAGAAGCGGCACCTGACCTGTGTACTCCCATCCGAGTCCGAGGAGATGGCCTGAGCGAGATTGTCAGCCCTGATGCCGGGAAGATCCGTATTCTCTCTCGGCCGGACTATTGGTTGGTCCACGAGTCCGCCAATGATAGGCTGATCCGAGCATGCTATGCTCCAGCTCTAAAAATAACTCGTCATCACCCCAGAAAGGGTTCATGACACCTCTAACAGGGTTAATAATTAGCGACTCAAAAACACCCGTCAACCACGCGTATCCGAGCTTATCGTTCGTCCAACCGCTTGGAGATGAGGCAAAGAAGGCCTTATGGTGTTGAGGATCGAAGTCCTGTAGCCAGGTATCTTGTATATCGCCGCTGGCAGCCTGGTAGATAAGGGCCGGCGACAGCGAGCTCCCATCAGCGTAAATACAAGCAATTGTCGTTATCCATTCACGATTCCCATCCTAAAGCCGTTGCTTGCCTCCCCCTTGCTCGTAGCTGCGTTTTGAGAAGATCCTGAGAAGGAAGAAACCAAATCACACCGACAAAGTATATATAATGATGCTGTCAGGTACATGATCCTAACCGACTCTTCCGTAGGACTGGAAGTCTTGACGTAATTTTAGGAAAGGGAGGCGAGGTATAAGTCTTTCAGGGGTCAAACCAATTATACGGAAGGTAATTTGAACCGAAACTGGATGGCTTTAGTGAGGAAGGTAACAGACAGTAACTAAAACTCAAGCGCTTCCTGAAATATCTTAAACTGCCTACTTCGACTTTCATATCCAAATCCGTGGTGATGCGTGGGGCGGTGGTGAGTTGGGTTTGGTTTGGTTTGGTTATATTTTACGGCCGTGATACACCGCCTAAGCACGTGTCCCACAATCCCCGGAAGGGGCAAAGGCCGATCTTTTATATCTAAACTACTTATATAGCTTAAAAGTTAAGAATAATTATTTAAAAATAAAATATATCTTAATAAAGACTAATAATAAAACTATTAATTATAAGATCTTAGAAGCTAGAATAAGTATTAATTATCTTACTAATTATTAGATTAGAAAGTAATTTAAACTATAAGTAATATAATTAGATTAATATAAATATTAACTAGTCATTACTTATAATAAGGTTCTAGTAAGTAATAAGATATTGAGCTATAAGAAATATATAAAAGAAAAAGAAGAAATTATATAATAATTAATTTATAAATAAATTACCAGATATTAGAAAAAGTAGTAATTCTTTATAAGTCTTTTATATATAATAATACTAAGAGAGTTATTTAAGATTTAGCCTAAAGGGTTTTTACCTAAATAGGTTAGATCTTAAGCAGGGGTCACGCCATTGACCCGTTGTAGGTGGAACGAGGCCGATAACTTGCTCCTCCATACATTACTCCCTGTTGACAATCGAGTAGCTTCCGCAAGATCTACCCATACCTCCCCAGACAGTCGAATGGACCCACAAATAGTCGAGACCAAGAGCCAGAGACTCGCCTCCCACCTGCCGTCCTCGGCGCTCCCTTGGTTAGGTTGTTCTGGTTCGCCTGGACAGCGTAACCCTTTCCCAGGTCCCCTGAATCCTGGGTCACACCCCGAGCCAAAGACTCTACAGCAGCCCATCAGTCCCCTAGATTGTGCCCATCGTCGGCAGTGCCATCTTTGGGACCGGATACGTCCCCTTCCCTCCCTTGCCCAAAGTCTATTGCCCACCCCCCTGTTCACAGACCTTCAAACTCACTCAGTCTCAAATGCAGAATGATTCTCGTGTTCCAGGGCGTCTTCGCCTTTCTCGTCGTCGCATACCCGCTCTACGCTGCCAGCGCACTGGGCGCAAACAGCTTGATGAGGAGTATATTCGCCGCGGCGTTTCCCCTCTTCGGCGTCGCAAGTGAGTTTGCCATTGCCCATTGATTCCCAGTCTCCATTTCCATGTGAACAAGGTTATTTTTGATGACTTCGCGTAATGACGTTGACAAGATGGGCGATCAATGGGCTACATCGCTCCTGGCGTTTTTGAGTTTGGTCATGGCGCCGTTTCCGTGAGTCTCTCTGGTTCCTACTTGTGTGGTTTTCTGTGGATGACCGGACTATTATTCGATGACGGATGATGAAGCTACTAGTACTGGTGGACGATAAAGGTATATGCTTTTTTAGGTGCGGCAAGAGGATTCGGAGGAGTCGGTTTGCTATAACGAGGTGATGGGAGGCTACTGTATCCGGTCAACACTCATTTATATATAAACGTGAAATATGCATGACCATGTATATGTAATAAAGTATGTCAACTCGATCCTGAACCGAAATAAAGGTGACTTATTTCTCATACGGTTGATCATAGCGCGGCGTTTCACTATTACCTTATTAGGCATCCTCGAGGCTATTGCCGAGGACCCCCTTGGGGCTCAGCTCAACACTTGCTATCGCACCTCGCGCATCCCTACCTCGTCCAATTCCCCGGCCGAACGTGGAACTACATTTTAGTCGGGGCGCCCGCGCATCTGCCTGGATCGAGGGATCCGGTTCCGCGGAACCTGCGCTGACAAACGACTGCTTTTATACAACCATGATAATATTCTTGTTTCTGTATAGCAATATGAGCTATAGCCGCTCACTCTGCGTCAAGATTGGCTCATTAAATCGGTCTGATTTTTCAACCGCATGCCGTCCTTGACAAATGCAAGGAAGAGTCTCGGAACCTGGGATTCCTGAGCATCCCCAAGGTACGGAGATTTATGAGGCCGAAAACCACATCGATGGAGATGCTGCCGCAAGAGAACCCCGGACTATATAACAGTCATGGAAGTCCCTATGTTTTCCATCACAGAACCACTGTCCTCTTGCGCCACATTTACTTGCCTTTTCATCCAACGCTATCAAAATCTCAATTGTTTTCCAAGCGAAAAGTCTTGGACGCCAAATATGGGAATGAAAACTAATATCACCCTCTACACTGAGGGGACTCCCAATGGCCTGAAACCCACCATTCTGCTGGCTGAGCTTGGACTGGAATACAAGGTATGTATAATTTGTCTCGTGGATATACACTTGAGCATTACTACATGAAGATGCAAAACCAACCTAACTGATATTTTTAAAGCTCCACCTAATCAACATATTCAAGCACGAACAAAAGGAGCCGTGGTTTCTCAAAATCAATCCAAACGGCCGAATCCCCGCCCTAGTTGACGAGGACGAGAATGGGAAGCAGACTATGCTTTGGGAGAGTGGTAGCATGCTGTTGTATCTTGTGGCCCGGTACGACAAGGACCACAAGGTCTCTTATCCTTATGACTCTCCGCAATACTGGGAGACGGTCAATTGGGTCAGTCTTAAGATTTGCGGCGCCTCTAGGGACTAAGAGATCTTGGGCTGTGCTTAGCTGACCCCAATTTATAGCTGATGTGGCAGATGAGCGGGGTTGGGCCAATGCAAGGCCAAGCAAATCATTTCGCCAGTGAGTCACGCCTGGCATATCTCCGGTCGAAGGGCTGGCTAACTCATTCTCGTCACTTAGGAATGGCCCCAGAGAAGCACGAGTACGCCATCGGCCGCTACGTGAATGAGACCCGCCGCCTCTACCGCGTTCTCGACACCCATCTCGCAAAGAGTGGATCCGGCTACATCGTTGGCGATCGTCTCACGGTCGCTGATATTGCCTTGTGGAACTGGGTGGCTGCGTATAGTAGGGAGCACGCGCGCACGCATCGGGCGTAGACTCCAAGCTACACGTGCTGACAACTGTCGCAGGATATAGTGGCTTGTCTAGCATCGACGAGTTTCCGCATGTCCAGAAATGGCTTTACGAACTCTTGAAGCGGCCTGGATTTGAGGAGGGCCGCAATGCGCCCCAGCCACATATTTACCTTGAACTCAACAAACTATCTGATGAGGAGTTGGACGCAAAGGGCCGCGCTGCCGGGGGTTGGATCCAAGAGGGCATGAAGCGAGATGCACAGGCCTGATCATCAGCCAACTCCGCCTTGGGTTTTGTCTAGGTTGAGTGTAGTATCCATGTGCATCCGTACCATAGTTGATGCTAGGGGAAGCCATCTACATATATTTGGCGTGTTATCGTACAAGGCAGCGCTGCCCCTCCACTTCTCAAGCAGACAGTCATTCATTATCTCCAAGGACTGTTATTTGGTACAGAGAACATCTTTACATGTGCCAGAGTTATACTAGGTATTTGTGAATGTCTAGTGAGAATAATGGCTCTAAATATAGTATGACTTGCCGCTCTTAAGAATAACACACCGAGGGCATATAACTACGATAGCATGATATATCACCTAGTCTCAGCGGGCATTGGTTATCGTACTTCCTAACTACAACTGGTATATAGAATTAAGAGGTACTAGACGTTTCAACATAAAGTTATCTAACGTTCGCTACGGCCTGTGAAACTGAAAGTATAATTCTGAGCTATACCAGGTACCTCAACCACTCTCTTTCCGTCCATTACGCTGGACCCGTCCATCCACTGCGGCGAAGCCACTCCTCAAAAGAGGAAGCCTTCAGACCAAGCTCCTCGAAGGAGTAGTCCTGATCCTCAGTAAAAGCCCCGTAGCAAATCCTGTCTGCTGGCGCCACAGCTGCCCATTCCATCATTTCCGTGGCATCTCGTTTGAAAGCCGGTCCAACACGGGGAACCGTCATCTCGCCGAATTCCTCTGCAGTTAATGGGTCGTGAACCGCGGGTTGGCCAGTGACTCTTGTGAAGGTTTCCACCATCTCATTGGGTGTGACTCTAGGGCTTAGGACTAAGTAAGTCTTTGCATGGGTTTTCTCGACCCCCAAGTTGAATACTTCTTTACAAATCAGGCATTGTGTCAGTCACTTTTCAAAGAGGCTATGCATTTTAATGTAAACTTACTCGCTGCAAAAATACCCATGTCGTGGATCGGATCAGTCCATTGTGCAACCTGGCCCCCTGGAATAGGAATACGGAACCGAACGACCCCGTCCGCTATTGAATCATTACATTAGTCTGCAAATGGATATTTCAAGTTAAACTTACATCTGCGGTCACAATATTGAGGCCAACGCAGATTAGTATAAAAGAACCCTGCACAGAAAACGTCGGTATCAGTAAAACACGTACAGCGCTTTGCCCGAAACTTGCGACACATGGTAGGGCTACAAACCTGGAATAAGGCACGTCACCCCGCTAAGCCGCTCCCTGGCGATTTTCTCGACTTCAAGCTTGTTGTTCATGTGATGGATATTCGGATACCGACCCCCCGTTGCCTTGATCATATCCGGCAAACTACTAAAGACAAAGTGCCTGACTTGACACTCTTCGGCCGCCAGGACCATGTTCCGCCCAGCGTCAATCTCATGCTTCATCTCCTCTTCCTTCTCTAGAACCCTTCCGGTATGGGTCTCGGACGTCACGGCAAACACGCCATATGCGCCCGCAAAAGCGTCTTTGAGGGATGCTCTGTCGTACACGTGCCCGGTGACGAGGGAAAGGCGTTTGTCGCTGGTCTGGTGGTCCGCCAGGAATTTCTGCGCCTTGGCTGAATTGGGGTCTCGCGTGAGGCCCCGGATATGCCATAAACCTCCATCTGGTGTCTTGGAGTCCAACAGTGTACGGATAACACCACCTCCTTGGTTGCCTGTGGCTCCAACCACAACTATAGTGCGAGAAATGGCCGAGGCCGCCATTCTGTATTCAGTTCCAAGGGGTGTCAAAGGCGGAGATATCAAAAAGAGATAAAACGGGGCTCGAATATGGTTTAGTTGTGGAGAGAAGGATGTAATGAGAAGTCCTAACTTAAGTAGCTTCAAGTTGGCCCCCATCCTTGGTACCCAGTGCGCAGTGTAGATTAGGGTTAGTAATTCGGAGACTTTGTCAGGTCGACGCCTGCTGCGCGGAAACTTTTGTCGCAGCGCTCGGAGTCTCATTCGTCCGGGCGTATCTACTCCCGCCAAGATCCATGCATCAAACATTAATCATCCAGACACCTGCATCCAGCGGTTTGGTCGACGTTGCTCTATAGTAATCGCCCATGTAGAATTCGTCCCATCGAGTCATGCAGTCTGACGGTTATGAAGCTCTACAACAGTGGTAAATGTGGAATCTGCAGTCTCTGTGTGGCGCGGGACGGATCTTTACTTCCTTATTTTGGTAGATTTATTCTTCTAATCTCATGTATTTAACCAGTCACTCGCTCAGATATTCAATAGATCAGACCTTCGATCTTCTTCTACATTCCTTCACTAAAGACTTCGTCCTCATTTCGATCGACTAGCGCTCATAACCTTTGCACCCTTATATTACTTACAGTATAGGTGACCAAGCAGAACGTACCCCTAGCTCCTTAGAGTCGGTACTACCCCATGAGTACCCCTTATGAAAGCGACAACGGACTTGACTCACGGCCGCAACAAAGATGCAGATGAATCTGCAACTGTGCACTTGTTCCCAAAAAAGCATTAGCTAACTATATTTTGAGCAAGTGGTACAATGCGGCTGCAGCAGGCCTTCCAAGCGTCTTTAAGAGATCGAGGTTCATCGCCTGGATCGTGTTGCTGCTTCCTTGCGCGTACAACCTTCTGCAGTAGTTCATAGCACTCAACGAGCACGGCGATGATGGGCAAGTCGTCCACGCCGTTATGGACACAGTTTGTAGGATACCTGCCACCCGATCGCGGGAAACTCACTTTCTCGCGACAAAAGTCTCTAGCTGAGAGTCCACGAAGCGGAATGCGATTGTTTTGAACCAAACACAGACGGAACTATGGCTTTCTCTGGGCTAATATACATTCTCGAACTGTTAGTTAGCCATATATAAAGCTTGGGCGATGGCCCTTACCCGGTCCAAAAGGACGCCACAGACAGCGCAAAGTAAAGATCCCGGGTTTACTCTTCCACCAGGCCAGATGTTGGTATATCCGCAACTGTCGACTCTTAGCCAAATAGCCCTATTCGATACTTTGGTCGAGAGCTTGCGCACGGCACTAACGTCGATTAATATCACACCTCCTTTTGATCAAACCCGAAGGCACTTACCATCTCCCAATACGCTCCCCGTTTCAGTATAAGCTGTGCGTGCGATCCACTCTCAACAACCCGTGTGTATCCACCCTCACTATCCCTTCCTAGCACAAAGATCGGATTCGCCTTCTGAATCGTGGCCAGCCGATGTGCCACCGTAACAATAGTCATGTCGCGTTTCTTCGCCAGCCTCTCCAATGCCCCTTGCACAAGCCGTTCCGACTGGGAATCCAGGCTCGAGGTGGCCTCATCGAGGAGAAGAACGGACGGTTTGCGAACCAGCGCGCGCGCAATGCACACCCGCTGTCTCTGCCCTCCACTCATGGCAGCCTGGGCATTGGCCCCGAGGGCCGTGTTATAGCCATCCGGGAGGGAAGTGATAAAGTCGTGAATCTCCGCGTCCCGACACGCCTGGATTATCTGGGACTCCGGGATGGTCTCGGGGCTGGCCTGGCCGAGGAGGAGGTTGTCGCGGACGGTGCCGTCGAAGAGCTGGGGTTCCTGCGACACGAGGGCGAGAGACGATCGATACGAGGGGAGGTCAATTGAATTGATGTTAGTGCCTCCCATTAGGATCTCGCCGCTCGAGACCTGGTAGAACCGCTCGAGAAGCGATATTATGGTTGATTTACCACAGCCAGACGCGCCTACTAGTGCCGCAAACTGTCCGCTCCCAATACTCAGGTTCAGGTGGTGAAATATAGGCGTGTCCCGTGATGAATAGTTGAAAGAGACGTCTCTAAACTGAATGCTTGCGTTGCAGCCTTTGATTGGCATATGCCTGGTCTCGTCATGCAGGTTCGATGTACCTTCGGCGACATGACGAAGGCGAAGAATGCGCTCGCCCGAAGCTGCGGCCTGTGCAATATTCGGACCAAAACTCAGGAATTGCCCTGCAGATTGGCCTCCCTGGACAATGGCAACATACACAACGAGGAAAGACACAACATCGTATTCATGCGAAGCCAGGAGATGGCCACCGTACCTGGGACGCTGGTTGAGCAAAATAAAGTACACGAAGCAGGGTAGAAAGGAGGAACAGAACATACCAGAAAGTGAGAGCCATCGAGCAAAGCTCGAAACTGTCTGCAAATGCAAACAGTAGTGTAGCATACCAGGCTTTTCTCATCGCACGGCGCCTCTGCTGGGTTACGAGAGTTGTATAGCGCCGTAATATGGACTTCTCCATGTTCAATGACGTGATTGTCCGGAAAGCACGAATAGCTTCACTTGCGAATTTCGAGCTCTCTGCGTAGACCTCTGCATTGATTGCCTCATACTTCATTTCGTATCGGATGCGTGCGAATGCGCCAAGAAACACGAATGGAGTCCCAGCGCAGAAGGCCACCGCAGCCAGCTTTGCACCAAAAGAGAAGGAGATGGCTATACATCCAATCACGCTGAGTATGGAAATGAGTGGGAAAATTCCGCTTACTCCGAACAGCTCCTGCAGCTGTCGGGGATCTGTTGACAGGGATGAGGTAAGAGTGCCGCTGCTGTTTTCCTCCTGATCAAACCACGAGATGGGCTGGGCGAGGATATTGTGGAAATACTCCTCGCGGTATTTCGAGGCGACGTTCTGAAACACGTCAGGATCTTATCGAAATTGTCTCTGGAGAAGTTCCTACACATACCAGTGAAATTCGGTTCGAGCAATACCCAACCAGAAGGTAGAAACCCGACATGGCCAATGCCATGATGAAGAACATGAGCGCCCAGAAGTTGCCAGCGTCAATCAGTCTCTGGCCGGTGTACTGGAAAACTTGTACGATCCGCGCAAAGAGCCAGCTCTGCAGTGCGAATCCGGCTGGCGTCTGAGTTAGCTCATATTGCAAAACCGCTCTCCAGAGACTTACACGATGCGCCAATCGCGCCGATCAATGTCAGAGTATAGAGCACCCAGTGCTTTTGCTGCTCTCGCAATATCCGCAGTAGGATCTTCGTGGAAGACTTGGGACTTTTCCGAGATTTCCACAGGCCTTGCTCAATATGCTCGCCGTTCTTTTCTGGTTGAGTCGGGGCAACAGGAAGCTCGTCTGCTGTTTCGACTGGCAAAGGATAAGAGACGTCTTCCTTTTTCTCTCCAGCCCGATGTTCGAAGACGGGTGCATTGCCCAGTTCTTGAGCATGGACCAGATTAGAGTATACGCCGCACGCTGCCATCAATTCGTCATGGGATCCATCTTCAACGTTCGTGCCATCCTTCATGACGATGATATGATCCGCTTTGCGGACAGTCGACAGTCGATGAGCGATCAAGATTGTAGTACGATCCTTCAGTACCCGTTCAAGCGCCGCCTGAACAATGCGCTCGCTATGCACATCGATTGAGCTGGTTGCTTCGTCAAGGATCAAAATCGGTGGCCGGCGAACGATGCAGCGCGCGATCGCTATGCGTTGTCGTTGGCCTCCGCTGAGGGCCAGTCCGCCTTCTCCAACGAGCGTTGAATACCCCTACTTGCAGAGATTAGAAGGTCTCAATCATGCTGATCCGCTGTTATATTTGTCTGGGATCTCGTACCTGGGGTAATTTCTGGATGAAATCATCCGCAAAGGCCTCTTCGCTCGCTTTGAGCACCATGTCCCTCTTGATACCCTCTGGCGCATTTTCCCACTTGGTGCCAGCCAGCCCCATGCTTACGTTCTCCATTATAGTAGTATTGAAGAGGACGGGCTCTTGCTGAACCAACCCGATCTGTGACCTCCACCACTCGAGGTCAAGTCCGTTAATATTGACTGCGCCGACTTGAATCTCTCCACCGAGTATATCACAGTCCCTAGAAGCATCTATTGTCTTCAGGTCATACCACCGTTCGAGCAGAGCCACGATTGTGCTTTTACCAGAGCCCGAGGGCCCGACTAGAGCCGTTGTCTTGCCTTGCTCGAAGCGCGCATTGAAACCGCGCAGAACCTGTGTTGTTGGACGCGTGGGATACGCAAAGCTCACGTTGTTGAACGTGATATCTGCTGTCTTGGCTGTGTCGAACCCCTTGATCCCGGTCGTGGGAGGCTGCCTCGCATCGATGATACTGAAGAATGGATGTGCTGCGCTGATCGCCTTGCTGATGATGATGAGCGGCGAAGCAATGTTTCCCAAGACGGTAACTACCAGAATAACGGAGAAGAAAACCCTGTACCGGCCAAATAAGTTTCTGGATCTCATGGCCCTGGAAAAAAGGGGAGTGGAACTTACGTGATTACAGTGTTGACATTATCAATATGGCCCTCGCGAAAAAGCTTCAGCCCAAACCAGAAGGCCAAGCCAAAGCTCACGTACATTGCAAAAAAGAGGATTCCCAAATGTATGCCACTGATGATTGACAACTTGGCGCCCCGCCGCTTTGCTTCCTCGATCCAGGCTGCATATTTTTCCCCTAATGGCTTTTCTGCCCCGAGGGAGAACACGGTACGGACCGAGGCAAGGACATCAGCTGCAATGGAGGCATGTTTCTGATCTGCCTCCTCCACGCGGTGGTAAGTCTTCACGAAGAACGGAACAGTGACACTGAACCCTAGCAGCACAAACAGAATCGCCGCACTGACCACTAATGTCAGGGCCCAGGAATAGCGGAACGCGATGCCATAGGCGGCAACGAGAAGTGCTAGGGATTGGAACAGCATGGCAAGCTTATCAGAGATACTTTGCTGGATCTGGTTTGAGAGTGAGGTGATGGCGTGAGTCACAGTGCCACTTGAAATCTCATCCAACCTGCTAATCGGGAGGGAAAATAGCGACTCTAGATATTCGAGCCGCAGGCTCGCAGATGCCTTGAGGCTTATGAGCTTCATCGTGACCTAACATCCAGTCAGCGTCTGTGGTATTCTTGCGCGGCGCATGTGTCTTGGTGTACCATGGACACGTAGGTCAAGACGAACTTGCCAATGAACAGGTAAACAATATACAAACTAAATCCCATGTCAGCCGACAATCGTATGATAAGATCTGCTTGTGCCTGTTGGACATCACATACCTGTTCCTATTTATCGTCCGCGTAAACTGGCCTTCCTCCAGGGCCGATCCCGGGGTCGAGTACTGGTTCAGAGTCCCAACCTGGTTGCCAAAAACGATATTCATGAGTGGCAGAGCCTATACGCGTCAGAAATCAATTTTGAATATAGGATTTGCGTCCGTAGCTCGACTCACAACTCCGGATCCCATGGCGCAGAGCAATCCGAGCGCCATTGCCAGGCTGCCCCAATGCCTTGCGCCATAGGAGAGAATCCTCTAGCATTAAGTTAGCCTACAGACAGGTATCGGAAATCCTTTTGGTACTGACGATGTAATGCACGAATGACGGACTTTTGTCCGAGTCTTCCTTCTCCGGTGCCGTTTCGACAAGGGATATATCGGCATTTGTATCGGGACTCGATCGCTCCATTGAGGATTTCTCCTGCACATTTTCTCCGGCGGAGTGAGGGTAGTCCATCATGCTACAATGCTTGTAGAGTGAGAAGGATAAATAGAAAAGGCAATGCACGGATATGCGCGCGTTGGCTTGCCCTGTTTCAAACCAGACAGCGACGAGCCCTGTATTGGATAAGGTGGGATTTACTCTTTCTCCATCGCGGCATGAGTCCAGATGCGCCGGCAGACTTTGACGAAGGAGGCGTAATAGACTCGAGCCATTTGTGGTGGATGCGTCTCAACGGTCCCGAGGTTGGATGTAACGTCGCCGCTCATCGTTGACGTCGGGCAATATTTCCGAGTGTCTTAGCAGAGCTGTCATAGCACAACCGACTCTATCCCCAACCACGGATCGCAGTGGGTCAAGATAGTATTGGCAGGTGCCTGGCACTCAATTGGCCCGCAGCTTGATTGACTGGCGCAGGTTTGTCCTTGGCGACTATGGTTTCTTAACCCTAAGCTCGCGGAGCAGTTCGATGACGCGAAGAACATGGGGACAACGCGAAGGCGCTGCTGATGGTTATAGTGTGGTACTAGACAGGCCAACGGACCGGCAGAGGGAGAGATCTGCGGGGAGCAAGATGCATGCAACCTACCAAAGCCGGCCATGACGCTTTGTAGAAAGGGAAAAAATCGAATTCACCACAGGGGTATAACCCTTTGAGCGCCACTAAAGCGCCTCTTTTCGCAAAGAGTTGGTACCCCTGAGGTTGTTATCCATACCCCTGTTTGAGTCAGTAGAGGCCAGCCACTTCACAGCAATTTTGAAACTCAATTCTACTACACAAATCGTCAATCTCTTTTAATTCTTGTCCAAATGGAGAGCAAACCTGCAGCCGCAGCCACGCAAAATGGCTTCTCTGTTCTGCCAGGCGATACAGTCGCCGTTGACATTGAATCGGACCCGAGTACCCGTGGCCGATCCTCCTCATCCTGTTCCACGACGGACAGGGATACGCTGGGGTCGACTGACAAAGGCCCGTCCTCGCAAAGTAGCGACAGCGGCGACACAGACCTCCTCGCAGAGGTAGCTGAGTTATGTCAGTGTTCGCCCGAAGATGTTGAGGATGTGTACGCCTGTACTCCCCTGCAAGAGGGGATGATGGCCCTCACGTTACGGGACTCGACCGCATACACAGTCGACTATGAGTACACCCTCCCGCGCGCTACCGACCCAAAGCGCCTGCACGCCGCATGGGAAGAAACGGCACAGGCAAACCCCATCTTGCGAACACGAATTGTATCGACGGCCGGGCACGGGTGCATGCAGGCCGTGATCCAGGGTCCGATCCCATGGACAGAAGCCGCGACCGACGATGATGAAGGGCCTCGCTTCACAGCGAATCCGTCCTGGAAGGCAGGACTACCCTTGGCCTATTTCACATTCTTGTCCTCGCGGCGTGTCTTGAAAATTCTCATCCACCACTCCGTCTGCGATGATTGGTCTGTTGCCCTGCTTCTGCGCGAGACCGACAAGGCCTACCGCAGCCCAGGCACCCTCACCAAACATCCATTCCGGCCCCTGGTAGATTACGTGCAACGGACTCGAGCACAGGCGACGGAGTTTTGGAAGGACAAGTTCCGCGATGCCGAAACAACCTCGATGAGCGCGTACCCCCCGCTACCTTCGAGGGGATACAACCCCCATCCAGGACACTGCCGCGAGCGGACATGGGAGATCAACAGTAAATTGAGCGGGGCATTTACGGTCAACACCAAGTTGCGGCTCGCATGGGCCGTCCTACAGGCCTTCTACGTCGACTCCCCAAATGTTCTCTTCGGTGCTATCAATGTCGGTCGCGGTGTGCCCGTCAATGGAATCGAAGAGCTTTGCGGGCCAGCATTGACCAGCGTCCCCGTCCTGGCTCGGCTGCGCATGCAAGACACGGTAACCGAGGCACTCATGTCCATGCAGCGAGATTGGGCCTCGGATATGCCTTACGAGCATGTTGGCCTGCAGAACCTAATGCATCTGGGCTCGGGGCCCAAGGCAGCCTGCGGATTCCAAACACTGTTGGCCGTGGAGCCTCGGGGTGCGCACCACATTCCACAGTTATTTGCCCAACACCGCGCGGTGCAACGGAACTATGACCTCTACGGTCTGATCCTACGGTGCAGGCCATCACAAACACAGATGCGCGTCGAGGCCTGGTTTGACCCTGCAGTCGTGGAGCCACGACAGATGGAGCGGATCCTTGGGCAGCTTGCCCACATATATGGCCAGATTGAAAGGCTTCCCAGCATCGCTCTAGCCGATGTTGATCCCATCAGCCCAGAAGATCGCGAGGAACTCCTCCGGTTCAACGCCCCTGTCGCACCAAGTGCCTCGACCCGGTCGTGTGTTCACACGCTGATAGAAGGAAGAGCGACCGCGCAGGGAGAGGCGCCGGCCATCCATAGCTGGGATGGGGATCTGTCGTACAAGATGCTCGATGAGATGACGTCCGTGCTGGCAGCGCATCTTTCCAGGGAGTCCATCAGGTCCGGATCGTTTGTGCCCCTGCTGCTACCAAAGTCGAAATGGACGCCGATCGCGATGCTGGCTGTGATAAAAGCAGGCGGTGCATTTGTCCTCCTGGATCCTTCCTTCCCAGTGTCGAGACTCAGGCAAATGTGCGAGGCTGTGCAAGCGCCCTTCGCCATCACCTGCAAGGAACTGGCCAACAAGACTGCCGAGCTGGGCACCGCCAGCTTTCTGGTGGATGACTTTGACTTTGAGACAGCGCTCGACCAGACTCGGAGCATGTCCTTGCCGGACATCAGTCCTGTTGCCTCTCTATACGCTACCTTTACCTCAGGCTCCACCGGAACGCCCAAGGGTGTCCTTGTTAGGCACGAAGGCTATGTTGCGAGTGCTACTGCCCATGGACCGCCATACGGCTTCGGGCCTACCGCACGCGTCCTGCAGTTTGCGTCACCGGCATTTGATTCGTGTATTATCGAGCACTTGAGCACGTTGATCATGGGTGGCTGTGTGTGCATCCCGACGCAAACCGAGTGCCACAGCCGTCTGGCCACCACCATATCCGAATATCAGGTGAACGTCGCTTGCTTGACACCGAGTGTGGCAAGAATCATCCCTCCCGACTCGGTACCGGGACTCCATACGCTGGCGCTTGTGGGAGAGACGGTACAAGCGAGTGACGTCGAGCGGTGGGCATCCCAAGTCCGGCTCTGCAATGCTTATGGTCCGGCCGAATGCTCGGCTGTATTTAGTGTCCAGCCCCATCTGGTCCAGAAGGACCCAGCCAATATTGGATACCCGACGGGTGGTGTTGGCTGGGTCGTGGACGCAGCGGACCCGGAGAGGTTGATGCCCCTTGGCAGCACCGGCGAACTACTGATTGAGGGCCCGATTGTCGGTTCGGGCTACATCGCTGACAACGAACAGACTGCACGAGTTTTCGTGGACGCGCCTCGCTGGAGAAAAAGATTCGGGGTGGTGCAGGATGTTCCGTTCTATAAGAGTGGGGATCTTGTCCAGTGCACCGGGGATGGGAGCTTTCGGTATCTGGGTCGCAAAGATACGCAGGTTAAACTTCATGGCCAGCGGTTGGAGCTTGCAGAGATCGAGAATCATCTGCACACATGTTTTCCAGAGGCCAAGCAGGTCGTCGTCGACATGCTACGCTCCGATTCGTGTTCAACAGCCGCAAAGAATCGCCCTGACGCTGTGCTCGTTGGCTTCATAGCGCGAGATTCAGCAGCCGCCGAAAAAGGCGTCCGAGGGCAGGGGTCCATCTTCCAGGCCGCGTCTGAAGACTTTCGTAGCGGTTGCGAGAGGGCAGAGACCTGTCTGCGCGAGGCACTGCCGTCCTTCATGGTCCCGGCCGTGCTGCTGCCAGTTGTGCGAATGCCTCTAAGTCCATCTGGCAAACTCGACCGTCGTTTCCTGCGTGACCAGGCATCTCTATTATCGTGGAAACAGATGCAGGCCTACCGTACAGCGACCATTCCTCAGGCGCAACAACCGGTTACTCCGCAGGAGGAGCGGTTAAGGGAGATATGGGCGAAAACGCTGAATAGACCCCTGCAGGAGGTTGGAGTTACAGACAGCTTCTTCCGGCTTGGGGGCGACTCGATCACTGCGATGCAGGCCGCGACGGCGTGTCAGGCCGCGGGGTGGCCTGTCATGGTTGCAGACATCTTCCGCTGTCCATCCGTTCGAAAACTCTCCCAACGCATCCAAGAGCTGGGCACAAAAGCCCCATTCCTGGTTCAGTCTGGAGAAGACGCGACGGACACCCCTTTTGAGCTCTCGCCGGTTCAGCAGCTGTTCTTCGAGCACGTACCGGAGGGCCATAACCGATTCACGCAGCAGTTCCTGCTAAGGCTCAACCGGCCGGTATCGACGAACAAGATTCGGAAGGCTACGGAAGCCTTGGTCAACCGCCACTCAATGCTCAGAGCACGTTTCCGCCGGCAGGACAACGGTGCGTGGGAGCAGAGGATCACGCCGGATGCCCGTGAAAGCGTCCTCTTCAGGGAACATTGGATTCCAACTGGTGATGATTCTCAGTCCGTACTTAAGCAGATACTGTACGACAGCCAGGGCCAGCTGGACATTGAGCGGGGACCACTGCTGGTTGTGGATCTGATGCATGAAGAAACGGGGCAGGAACTACTCGGATTCATCGCACACCACCTAGTGGTGGATCTAGTCTCGTGGCGCGTAATGTTGAAGGATTTCGAAGACCTTCTAGCATCCGGCCGCACACTGCAAGCGCCCTCACTTTCATTCCAGCAGTGGTGTCGGATGCAGCAGGAGTATGCTCTGAAACGCATAGATCCTCAGACATGCCTCCCCACGCCTGTACGGACAGCTCCAGACGACTATTGGGGCCCTGAGATAGCGAACAATACCTGGGGTCAGGCGATCGCCCAGACAATATGCCTCACTCCCGAAACAACGCAGGCAATTCTTGGACCCGCAAATGATGCCTTCAACACCAACGTAGTTGAGATCCTTCAGGCTGCCCTCCTCCACTCGTTCGTCCGCATGTTCCCCGACCGCGCGTGCCCGACGCTGTGGAGCGAAGGGCACGGTAGAGAACCCTGGGACCCACAGATCGATATCTCCCAGACGGTGGGTTGGTTCACTACAATGGCGCCGCTGTCTATTGATGCCTGTTCAGGCCAGGATATCACAGAAGTCATGCGACAAACCAAGGACAGGCGACGGGCAATCCCAGGGAATGGATGGCCGTACTTCGTAGCGCGCTATTGCCATCCCGATGGCCGGAAGCATTTTGGTCGCCATACGCCTATGGAGATCCTCTTCAACTATACCGGCCAGTTCCAGCAGTTGGAGCGTTCGGGCGCACTGCTTCAGCTCGCCACGGCCCCCGACCATGACCTGGTCCCCATGCCTCCCGACATGCCGCGGTTTGCGCTGATGGATATTTCTGCGACTGCTATTGGCGGGTCCCTGAATGTCACCTTCATGTATAACAGCAAGATCAGGCATCAGGCTAGGCTGGCGGAATGGCCACGGGTTTTTCGGAAGACTCTGGAGGGACTTCCCAGTGCGCTGAGCCAGTCCCAAAGGCTGACAATATCCGACCTTCCCCTGTTGGCGCTGGAGACGGATCAGCAGTTGCACGACGTTCTCCAAGAAACAGCTCGGAAATGTCAGATTGCTCAGAAAGATATCGAGAGCATATATCCCTGCGCACCAATCCAACTGGGCATGTGGCTGAGCCACCTGAAGCTCGCGGACATGTACTGGTCACAGATCCGGTGGGCGGTCCGTCCGTCGCATGAGAGCGCTGTCCCTGTCGACGTTGAACAGGTTCGCAATGCCTGGCAGCAAGTTGTGGACCGTCACCCGATACTGCGAACAACGTTTCTCAATGGTGTCGGTGGGTATAGGGACCCACTGCAGGTGGTTCTGGCCACTGTGGTAGCAGATATCAGGGTCCTGACTAAAGCTGCAAAGACCACGGACCTCGATGGGGAAGGGAAGCATTATCTAGGAGATCCGACAAAGCCAGCCCATCAGCTGCAGCTGTATCCTTATCCGGATGGCAGTGTTTCGTGTCTGCTTAGCATCCATCATACCCTGATGGACGGGACCACCAGTCGGATCATCCTCGCGGACTTTCAAGACGCATATAACGGAGTCCTAGACGACACGCGGGGTACTCCTTACGAGTCGTACATGGAATACGTTTTGGGCAATTCCCTCAAAAAGTCCAACCGCTACTGGATGGAGTATCTAACTGGTGTGCACGCGTGCATTCTTCCATCGCTCGCGGCTCCAAACCAGAGCCAGCAGCCAGCTGGACTAGGCTCAGCAGCGTTCAACTTGGGCCCTGCGGACAATCTGCTCGCATTCTGTCACCAGCATGGTCTTACTATCTCCACTGTCTTGCGCGTCGCGTGGGGTCTCGTCTTGCGTTCGTATACAGGGTTGGACTCGGTCTGTTTCGGGTATCTGGCATCTGGACGAGACATCCCCTTGCGAGGGGCGTCCACAATTGCTGGTCCACTGATTAATCTGCTGATTTGCAGAATCTCCCTCAACGGCGACTTGCCAATCCTGTCCCTCTTGGAAGACAACCAGGCTGACTACGGGCGCAGTATCGAGCACCAGCACTGGTCCGCGGCGGAGGTGATGCATTCGCTGGGCCTTTCTGGGCAGCCACTGTTCAACACCGCCATGTCGCTGCAGCAAACAGACACAGGCCCGCTTGGAGATGGAGATTCTACTGCCACCGTGGTCGCGGAAGGTGGGCATGATGCAACTGAAGTATGTACCCCATCAGACAATCAACGCTGTAACGGTCGAAGCCCAAGTTGGGCATCAGACAGCGACGGAATCAAATAATGAGAAAGTAGTGCGAGAGCTAACCGCTATCTTAACGCATAGTATACCGCTGCGGTCAATATTACAATTGACAAGGGCACGATCCTCGGAAATCTCACATACTGGACGCAGGCGCTGGGAGATGAGCAGGCGGAATTGATCACAGACACCTTTCAACAGTGTGTCTTGCAGCTCGTAAACACCCAGCACAGACTGTTGAAAGACCTCCAGATTCTGGGTCCGAAGAATAAATCCCGACTCCGGATGTGGAACGGCAATGCCCCAGATCCAGTGCGCTTGTGCATCCATTCCGGCATCAGGGAGCGAAGCGTCTCGCATCCCAAAGCGGCTGCTGTTTCTGCCTGGGACGGCCAGTTGACGTACGGTGAGTTGGACCAAATCGCGTCCTCCTGGGCTCTCCGACTATATGAACATGGCGTACGCACTGAGACGTTTGTCCCCATCTGTGGCGGCAAATCCAAGTGGATCGTCGTTGCGGTCCTCGCCGTCCTCAAAGCGGGCGGCGCATTCATCCTTCTAGATCCATCACTTCCTGCAGAGCGACTGCGCGAGATGGTGCAGCAGAACTTTCAATGTCCGTTCATCGTTGCGCCGGCTGAATACAAGGCGCTCGCTGCGCATATCGTCCCATGCACCATTCTCATCGAAGACCTCCAGCACGGCCTGAGGATTGGCACCCCCATTGACGGTGTTCGTGGCCGGGCGAGCTCGCCCAGCTCTGCTGCATATGCGACCTTCACTTCTGGGACGACGGGCAGGCCAAAAGCGAGCATTATCGAGCACGAGTCCTTCTGCTCATCGGCAGCAGCACATATTAGAGCCCTTCACATTACCAAACGCTCCCGCGTTCTCCAGTTTGCCTCTTTTGCCTTTGATGTCTGTATACTGGAGATTCTCAGCACTCTTCTGGCCGGTGGCTGTGTCTGTGTTCCAGGGCAAGACGGCAGGGAGAGGACGCTTGCGCGGGCAATCCAGAGGCATAAAGTCAACTGGGCCATCTTGACGCCCTCTGTTGCCCGTATCCTAACCCCCAGGGAGCTTCCTACACTAAAAACATTGGTTCTGACCGGGGAAGCTATGAGAGCTGAGGATGTGCGCCGATGGGAATCGCATGTGGAGCTCATGAATGCGTACGGACCATCAGAATGCTCTGTGATAGCAACAGCTCAACCAAGTTCAGAAGTCCTTCTATCACAAGCAGCAAACATCGGCAAGGGTACAGGCAGCGTGACGTGGGTGGCAGACCCAAGCGACCCAAGGACGGCTGTCCCCATTGGAGCGCCAGGTGAACTGCTGCTAGAGGGTCCCATTATTGGACGTGGGTACGTTAATCATTCAGAAACCCAGAAATTGTCCTTTATGCCGTACCTCTCGTGGATGCGAACTATACGTGACTCGGCAAGCGGTGGCCTGTACAAGACTGGTGATCTCGTACGGTATCTGCCCGACGGTTCTCTGCAGTACATCGGCCGCAGGGATCGCCAGGTCAAGCTCCATGGCCAGCGTATAGAGCTGGCAGAAGTTGAGCAGCATGTCATGAGGTGCTTCCCCAGAGGTTGCCATGAGCTGTTCGCCACGCTCGTGGCCCTGAATGGGACGGAATCACCGTATCTGGTAGTCTGCGTGGTGGAGGAAGATCATTCCACACATAAGAGTAGTTTCAACGCTGCAGTCGAAGAGGCTCAACGTCGCCTGAAAACGGAGGTTCCAACAGTCATGATACCAGCGGCCATTGTTCCCCTACGCCATGTGCCCCGCCTGGTCAACGGCAAAGTCAACCACGACCTGATCAGCAAAGAGGCAGCGAGGGCACTAAAGTCTCAGCTGGAGCAGGCTCAAGAGCCACGGGAGATCTGGCGACCTGAGTATTTGACACAGGGCGAGCGGTTGCTACAGGCTCTGTGGGCACAGGTTCTAGACTGTCCACTGGAGGCTGTCGGGCCGAGCGACAATTTCTTCCAGTTGGGGGGTGATTCAATTGCCGCCATGAAGCTGGCTGCTGCAGCCTATAGCTCCGGCCTTGATCTGACAGTTTCAATGATCTTTATGCACCCCCAGCTGCAGGACTTGGCCCGGGTTCTCTCTGCTTCGAGCGCAAATGAGAACGACCAGGTCGTCGACGCGCTTACACCCCTCTCCCTGATCCCCAACGAGCACCAGACGGAAGCACGCGAGCAGGCGGCCTCGCAATGCTGTGTAGATGACGGTGATATTGAGGATATCATTCCCTGCACGGCTCTGCAGAGCGGGCTTGCTGTCCTAACCGCGGAGAGACCGGGGGCCTATGTGGCTCACCATCGGCTACGGTTATGGGATAAGGTTGATTTGGATAGACTACAAGCTGCATGGGAACAGGTCTCCATCACTCACCCAATCCTGCGCACACGAATCATTGAGACAGTTGGTCTTGGCTGTCTCCAGGTCGTTGTCCGGAACCAGGGGCTGAGCTGGACGGCTCCAGACCAGGAGGGAACCGAGCAAATCAGCCAGGGGGTTCCGTTTGGAAAGTCCCTTGTACACATGAAACTTCTTCGAACATCTCGCGAGGGATCCTCCGAGGTTGATCTGATGCTAACAATGCATCATGCCGTGTATGATGCATGGTCTCTGCCACTGCTCCTCCTGGAAGTAGAGCGAGCCTACCGCAACGGCCACGGTTCTTCTGCTCCCGCCGTCCGCTATCAGCATTTCGTCCAATATGCACTATCGCAAAAAGATGCAGCGCTCGATTACTGGCGGGGACAGCTTGAGGACTTCGACGCCGAGCCGTTCCCTGCGTTGCCAGCCCCGTCATATCGACCCCGAGCTCTACAGGTGAAGCGATGCTCGCTGGACATTAAACCATTCGATGCTTCGGTCACTCGCAGCACAGCCATCCGGTTAGCCTGGTCACTCGTGCAAGCGCAGTACCAAGGAAAGCAGGACGTCATATTCGGGATGGTCTCAACCGGAAGAACGGCCCCTGTCAAGGGGATCGAATCCATCGCTGCGCCAACGATCGCCACCATCCCACTTCGAGTCATGATCGATGCTTCAATGACCGTCTCGCAGGCTCTAGGGAATCTGCAGCGACAGATCACTCAGATGGTCCCATTTGAGCAGGTCGGTCTTCCCGCGATTGCAGCGCTGGCGCCCAATGCGTCTCGTGCATGTGGATTCCAGACGCTGCTGAATATCGAAGGGCGAGGAGAAGTCGAACGGATAGTGGCCGAGCTCGAGATGATGCAGCCTGTGGACACGGTTTTTGCCGATGGTGCATTCAATACGTACGCTCTAAATCTGATTGCCTCTCTTAAGCCTGGTTCAGTGGCGATTGAAGCTGCGTTTGATGAGGCTGTCATCCCAGACTGGCAGATGCAGCGCATCCTCGATCAGTTTAGCTTCATGCTTGAACAGGTGTGCACCAGACCACGCGCGACAGCACAGGAACTCATGACGATCAATCCGAGCGACATGCAGCAGGTAAAGGCGTGGAACGCACGAAGCCGATCCCTGGTACCTGCGACGGTGGCGGACGTGATCAACCAGCATTGCACCTCTCAGGCCCTGGCTCCTGCTGTATGTGCTTGGGATGGTGATCTGACCTACCAGGACCTGGACTGCGGATCCAGTACAATTGCGGGGATACTAGAAAGTCATCGTATCGGTCCGGAAATGTTTGTTCCCATTTACATGGATCGGTCTCGATGGGTGGTGGTGGCTGCTCTCGCGGTCCTCAAGGTTGGAGCAGCCTTTGTGCTGCTGGACACGTCTTATCCCCCGGGGCGACTGCGAACCATCTGCGACGAGATTCAAGCGCCCTGCATCCTAACTTCGGAATCGCGCCACCAAGACGCTCGGACGTTGATTGACCAGGTCGTCGTTGTTGGCAACAAACACCTCGCATCGTCTCCAGATTCAACACATCGAAGGCACTCACCGGCCAGAAATCCGCACCAGGCATTGTATGCAGTCTTTACCTCGGGCTCGACAGGCAAGCCAAAGGGCGCTGTGGTCGAAAATGGCGCCTTTGTCACAATGGCGGCGCCGTGGACGCACACGATGAAGGTTGACTCCCATTCTCGCGTCCTCCATCTTGCCTCATATGCGTTTGACGTCAGTATTCTCGAAATACTCGGGACGCTGTTTGCTGGGGCTTGCATCTGCATCCCGAGCGAATCCGGGCGGAGAGAGGGCGTTGCTGAGGCGGTGCAAACCCTCCAGCCGTCCCATGCCATACTCACTCCCTCACTCCTGCGTGCAATGACACCGGGCGATCTCGGCCCAGCCAGTACTGTTATGCTAATTGGGGAACCCCTCCGTGCCAGTGACGTTGCCCAATGGGCCGATCATGTGCGCCTGATCAATGCATACGGACCAGCCGAATGCACCGTTGTATACACCATGCAGGCCTCGGTCCACATTCCGTCTCGGGCATCAAATATTGGACATTCCATCGCTGGTGCGACCTGGATTGCTGATCCTAGCGACCCCAATCGGCCGGTTCCCATCGGTGCAGTTGGTGAGCTCCTCTTACAAGGACCGTTGGTTGGCCGGGGGTATCTCAATAACCCAGAGCAAACGGCGGCTGCATTTATCGATTGCCCGTCCTGGTTGGCTCCCTCATATTCAGACAATCACCAGTGCATCTCAAAGGTGTACCGCACGGGTGATCTGGTCCGCTATGACAGTGACGGGTCGCTTTACTTTGTGGGACGAAGGGATTCGCAGGTCAAGCTCCGGGGCCAGCGCTTTGAGCTTGGAGAGGTCGAGGATCAAGTACAACGAGCATTTGGGGGCAGCTTGAGTGACGTCGTGGCTTTGATCGTTACACCTGCCACTGCTCAGCAAGCACCCTATCTGGTCGTGTTTGTTGTCCCTCCGCATCCAGAGAGCGCCCCTGAGGCCTCGACTTTATTGATGCCACGGCTTCCCGTCATTGAGCCACCGTCTTTCGCGAGCAAGACCTACAAGGCGCAAGGTATCCTTGAAGACACCTTACCAAGCTACATGCTTCCCAGGGCAATCATCCCTCTTCGGCAGATGCCGCGAACAATCGGAGGCAAACTAGATAGACGACAGCTCCAGGAGGCTGCTGCCGGTCTCACCCCCCGGGGCCTGTCATCATTTATGCTAACTGGCACAAAAACGCGCATTGCCTCGACCGAGGCAGAGCGGGCGCTGCAACGCATCTGGTCCCGCGCCCTCGGTCTTCCTCCCAGTGAGGTCGGGGTTGACGACAGCTTCTTCCGCTTGGGGGGTGACTCGATCTCTGCTTTACAGGCAACCACCCAGGCTCGTGCCGTGGGAATTCAACACTCTGTGTCAGATCTGTTCCGTTGGCGGACAATCGTACAGGTTGCACGGCGGTTTGCCAGGGATCACCAGCAGGGCGCTGGGGACTCTAGTAATGTTGAAAAGATCCTGGCATGTACACCAGCACAGAGGGGGATTCTGTTGAGTCAAGTGAGAGACCGCGCGAGCTATACCCCTCACTTTTTGTGGAAGATCCAGCAGGAAGCTGGCCCAGTTAATCTGGATCTCTTGGTTAGCGCATGGCATCAGGTCGTCGCTCGCCACGCAGCTCTCCGAACCGCTTTCCAAGCAGACTTGTCAAATGATGGCCAATTCGAACAGGTCTGTTTCCGTCAGGTCAAGCCTCGTGTCAACCTAATTCAAAACGTTCCTGCTGCGGCCCATGAAGATGGTACTCCCACTGTGCTGAAACGGATCTCCTCAACCGTGAGTCAGTTGGACGGAGAAACGACTCCTCATCAGCTCACTGTGTGCACCACCGATACTGGTGATGTATACGTGCGGCTCGATGTAAGCCACGTAATTATTGATGCGATGTCTATGGCAATTTTGGAGACCGATCTTCGTCAAGCGTACGACTCGTCTTTGCCAGTTGGCACGCAGAGCGATGCCTATGAGAATTATGTCACTTTTGCCCAGAACCAGACGTCGGACTCTGCTTATAGCTACTGGCAGGCTTATCTCGAGGATGTTGAGCCGTGCCGACTGCCAGTGGAGAGGCATCCAACCGATACCGGCCTGGTAGATACATTGACACAGCTCGATATTGCAGTTTCAAGTTCTGCCTTCGACATTGAATCCTTCTGTCGTGGAACTGACTGGACCGCTTCCACCTTGTTATATTTCGCGTGGGCCCTGACTCTACGTGCTTTTACCAGATCTGATGATGTGTGCTTTGGGACTCTGACTTCGGGCCGGCTGGTGCCTGTGGATGGGATCGATGGCGCCATTGGACAGTTCTCCAACATGTCTGTATGCCGAGTCCGGATGGGACGAGAGATGGAAGTGGACGAGGTTGCGCTGCGCCTGCAGGAGGACTATTCGAATGTGTTGGCGTACCAGGCATTCCCCCTTGTAGAGATTGCCAGAGCCGCAGGAATCCCCATGGACGAGCTCACATCGACGGCGATCAACGTGCAATATGAACCGGCGTCCACTCTAGAGGAGAAGCACTCGCTCTCATTGATCCCAGTCAGTGGAATGGATCCCATCTCGGTAAGTTTACTGCTGGTCATTATATTCATGTTCATCGTTGACTGTGGTATCCCAAACAGCAAGACATCACCGTCTACATTTTGCTGGAGCAAAACGGTTGCATCCGGGCGACGATGAGCTATCGCCCATCCACCGTGTCCTCTACATTTGCTACGCAGCTATCCGAGTATTTCGACCTGGCCGTTTCATCGCTGATCCAGGGCCCCAGCACGGTGATTCGGGATCTTGAGCTTCTCACACCCCGGGATCGAGATGGCTGGACTTACCTGAACCCAACCCTTCCTTCACACCCAGACGCAACAGTACATGATCTCATCCGAATCAGAGCCCAGGAGTTCCCCGATCACCTTGCAGTCTCCGGTCTAGACGGCATCTTTACCTACACGGAGCTGGACCAACTTGCAACAAGGGGAGCGACACTGCTCCGAGCACGCGGAGTGTCCAACGGCCAGTGCGTCCCGCTTTGCTTTGAAAAGTCCCGCTGGGTCTCGGTCGCTATTCTCTCGGTGCTCAAGGCTGGGGGAACCATCGTGCCACTTGACCCTGCGCAGCCAGTCACCAGGCTCAAGGAGATCTGTAACCGAGTCAAAGCCACTCTTACCATATCTTCTCCCTGCCAGGTCTCTATTTGCGGGATGCTGACGGACGAGGTGTTGGAACTCGGCGATGCCACATTTGCTCAGCATCATGGCGATATTGACCATGCTACGACGGCCGCTCCCCACGCGGTGGCCTCTTCTCAATCAGTATACATTCTGTTCACCTCAGGAACGACTGGTACACCCAAAGGGGTCATGGTTTCCCACTCTTCTTACTGCTACGCAGCGGAGCACCATATTCGGGCATTCGGGCTCGATCACACCTCTCGTGTCCTCCAGATTTCTTCGTACTCATTCGACGTCTCCATGATGGAGATTCTGACTACATTGATCGCTGGTGCTACAGTGTGCACCATTACGGATGGTGAGAGAAGCGATATGCTCATGAACGGTGCCTGCCCTTTTGCAGTTTCCCATGCATACTTGACTCCGTCCCTGGCTGGCACCTTGGACCCCAGCAAGGCAGCCTGGGTAAACACCCTTGTACTCCAGGGAGAGCCAATGACGGCGTCACACATTACAGCGTGGGCAGACAAGTGCCGCCTCATCAACGCGTATGGGCCCACTGAGTGTGCAGTCATCAACACAACAACCGGCTCCCTCGCTCATGGAGACGATCCGCGCTGTATAGGCCGCGGGTTGGGTACTCACTGCTGGGTGGTCGACCCGGATGACCACAACATTCTTCTACCTCTCGGGGCCGTTGGTGAGCTAGTCTTGGGTGGCCCGGCGGTAGGACAAGGATATCTGGATGAGCCTCAAAAGACTAATGAAGCGTTCATTAAGCCTCCAACCTGGCTGCGGGCGCTTAATCTCGGCGGCGGAAGCCATGAGAGGCTGTACAAAACTGGTGATCTCGTCCGATGCGATGCAGAAACCGGCAATTTGATCTTCGAGGGCCGCAAAGATCAGCAGATCAAGGTCCATGGGCAGCGAATCGAGGTCGCTGACGTCGAACACCACACTCGGCGATGCTTTGATGGAGCAAAGGAGGTTGTCGTCGAGCAAGTCTTCCTTCCCCGAACCGCACAATCGACAGATCCATCTTTGGCAATACCTTCAATGGTCCCTCGTCTCGTAGCCTGTGTGATGGGCGGTGTCGCACATGAGACCATGTCCGACCTGAATGGCCACGGCAGTCGCTCTTCCTCCAGTGTGCTGCTTCCCCCGTCTTCCGAGTTCCAGAGCGCTACAGCCATCGCTTTGAGGGAACTGCGCCAGCTGCTTCCTGGCTACATGGTCCCCGATCTCATTCTCCCAGTTTCGCGCATTCCACTATCGAGTTCTGGAAAGACCGACCGCTCGCGACTCCGTGAGCATATCCGCGCCGTTCCAGCTGCAGATTGGCCCCTGTATTTCAGCGCTCAACAGAGCAAACGTCCTGTGGAAGGAGAGACAGAACATACCTTCCAGGAAATCCTCTCTGCCGTCCTGGAGATACCAGGAGAGAATATCAGTGTGGACGACAGCTTCTACCACCTCGGCGGGGACTCGATTGTGGCCATCAAAGTCGCTGCTCGAGCCCGTGCAGCAGGGTTTACTATCAGTTCGCACGATATCCTCCGTCATCCAACAATCGCCGAGTGGGCCAGCATGGCTGGTTCCACTCAGGACAAGTCTGGGCCCGCCAGGATCTACGAGCCCTTTTCTCTCATCACCAAGGAAGAACGACAGCTCGTGCTGGCTTCCCACCTTGACAGGGAGCACCCTTTTACGGCCGACAATGTCGCGGATATCCTGCCCGCCGTGGATTTCCAGTCGTTTTACATCACAAACTCCTCTCTGGTTTCCACGGCGGAAGTATTCTCTGCTCCGCTGGATATACGCCGACTATACCAGGCGTGTGCAAAGGTGATGTCCCATTATAGCATCTTGCGGACCATCTTCGTTGGCACGGGTGAACGGATCCTTCAGGTGATTTTGCGCAATGTTGACCCTGCATTCCACTTTGTGCAGCGTGACGATCCACAGTCCTACATCGCACACAGATCCAAGGACACCATCGCAGCTACGACAGAACAAGGGGAGCTGCTAGTCAGTTTCACGATAGTTACCAGTCGCACTCGCCCGGACTGGGGCTTCATCGTCCGCCTGTCCCATGCACAGTATGACGGATCATCCCTCCCGTTCCTGTGGCAGGCGATTGCCGCAGCCTACGAGGGCAAAGAGCTGCCCCCGACGACCCAATTCCGTGAGGTGGTCTATAATCGTCTGGGGGAGGCCCACCCAGAGTCAGTCTCGTTCTGGCACGACTATCTCCAGAATGCATCCGAGAAGAGCACCGACCCATTGGGCACTACCTGCATTCCTGGCTCTCCGCAAAGCGACGCCATGCCTCTTACCGTCCGCCGCGAAATCGAGCATGATTGTCGCCTGCCCGATATCACCCCGTCCACCCTAGTCAAGGCGTCGGTCGCGTGGGTCCTCTCGCGACATGCTACACTCTCCGAGATGATTCTCGGGCAGGTAGTCCACGGGCGCGGAGGTGGTCATCTGCCAGGAATGGAAACCGTCCTTGGACCATGCATCAACTTCCTCCCCATCCGCATCTCCCTCGGCCAGCAATCCACCGTCGCTGACCTGCTGCACCACGTCCAAGATCAACAGCTGGCAACAGTTCCGCACGATCATCTTCCTCTCAAGCAGATCGTCGGCAAATGCACAAGCTGGCCCGCCGACACCAGGTTCGGATGTATCGTCCACCACCAAGCCGCGCAGGCTGGTACTAGTCAAAGCATAGCAATCGGCGGCGTCGAATCCACCTCGAGTACCAGCTGGGCCAACTCAACTCCCGTGCCCGGTCAAGTGGGGATCATCTCAATAGAGCGCGGGTCCTCACTGGACTTGTATATGACCTTCCCGACCGAGGGAGTTGCTGAGCCCGTCGCGGAGGAATTAGCGGACGCTATTGCGCATACAATCCGGCTCTTCTCGATGTTCCCGGACTACGCCCTGGATATCCTGACTCAGGGTGGTGTTTCCTTCAGTCAGCCTGCGGGGCCATCTGGTCTTCAGCCGCTATCAGGACGTTTTCCGAACTAGCGAAGCTTTTCTTCTGTTGGAATGCTTCATCTCGGATCCCGCGAGTGGCCTCCCTACTCGAGTCTCGACTAATATACCGCAATTTGTTGGCCGTCGGCCAGGCAAGGAGCAGCATCAACCGGCAGTAGCAGATGCCACAATGATGTTTTATCGAGAGAATGAAGACAGGCCCATGTCAAAATGGCCTTGGTGATGGGGTACGCTTTATAGATTCTCTGAAATGAATTGACATACTCTGGCTCATCGGCACATAATCGTGTGAGCGTTCATGTAGGTAGAAAAGGCTGAGCTATATATTGACGAGCTAAGGCATGACTTGGGTTTTGAAGTCTGGCAGCATAAAGCTATGTCCTCGTATTCTTGGGGAAGGAGCCAAGAGCTGCCAATAACCTCGAGGGGGCCCTTGCCATCAAATGTATCGATACGGGGTAGTCTCAATTGAACTTTTTGGGTTACCTCCTTACAGTATCCTAAACATATTATTCTTTTTAATTGCCCGAACTCCGGCTTATGCGAGATCCCCTGTCGCTGTGTTTCGCTGTTCACCTGATTTGCCAGAGCACGCGCTTGATTTGCTGGAGCACTGTGACGGCCTATCGCCTAAAAAAGCAGTTTCTGATCACCATACCTCTCGGCCTGACATGGCATCCAATCGAGTAAAAATGCCCATAGCGTACCCCAGCCTGACGTTGGATACAGCCTCCGCACGGAGGCTTGCTCCTCATCTGTTCTCCCATCTTCTGGAGAGTCCCAGCTGCGTTACAAGTATTCGACCGACCGCGCACCCACCTTGGACCAGGACTCTGAATATCGCTTTGTCAATACTCCCAAAACCATGCGGAGGGCCTGGGGAAGACTGACCACCCGTGAGCGACCGGGTAGTCGTGCAGATCCAGCCGGGGAAGCCCCATCCTCCGTTTCCGTGGCTGACGGTATCGGTCTCCGCGTTCTCCACGAGGGCACAAACCCGGTAGTAGAGTACGTTTTCAAGTAGCTTGTTGCGGCCAAGTGGCGCGATTCAGCTGACGTCCGGCACAGCATCGTGTTTCTGCATGGCTTGACCGGAACCCGCATCTCCACATGGACCCACGCCAGGTCCGGTGTCTGCTGGCCCAAGGACTTCCTCGCAGCGGATATACCGAATGCCAGGATTCTGACATTCGGTTACGACGCCGATGTAGTCGGTCTTTGGGACCCGGCTGGCATGAATGGGGTCAGTAACCATGCCAGAGACCTGCTGGGAGCGCTATCCCACAGGAGAAACCAAGATGACACGGTGGGCTCTGTTTTGCCATTTCTACAGCTTCGGCAGATAATTAACAGTCTCTCAAGGCCGACCGCAAAATTATCTTCGTCTGCCACAGTCTTGGCGGGCTGGTCGTCGAAGAGGCAATCAACCTGTCCAGGGTGGATGCCGAAGCACATATCCGTCAGATAGCGGAATCTACCCTCGCGATCGCATTCATCGGGACTCCTCATCATGGCAGTGACCTGGCCTCCTGGGCGAAACTGGCGACAAGACTAGCTGGTGTTGTTCGAAGGGCGAATGCTGACATCGTGGACGTACTACAACCTGGCTCCCAAATGCTCGCCAGGATCCAGAATCAGTTTCATAATTCGCAGCGAGTCGCTCCGGTTGCCATTACTTGCTTTTACGAGGATCTCCCTTATCAGACTATAGGCGTGGTAATATCCCGTATCGGCACTTCTTTGACAGCCTCCGTTGACTTTGCGTAGGTCGTGCCCCATCAGTCGGCCATACTCCCCGGTTACGCAAACTATAGTATCCACGCCAATCACCAGGTAGGTTGTACTTCGCCAGCCCAATACCTAGCTGGTGCTAACAGTATGCGCTTCAAATCAGGAGATGACGCGATTTTCGACGAGAGAAGATAGTGGCTATACCAAAATCTTTGGAGAGCTGAAAAGATGGATTGACTCTCTGCCCGCCAATTCATCTACTCCAGTCTCCCATGCAGATTCCGCAGAGGAGAATGTACTGGGCGTCCATTCACTCCTCGCCGCCGCTGCCTCTGGCACCCCCGAGCTTGTCGAGCTCCTGCTCCGCACGACGTCGGATGTCAACGTCACCGAACCAGGCCCGACCAAGCGCAATGCGCTCCACTTCGCGGCGGCGTTCGACAAGCCGCTCAACATGGTGCCCCTGCTCCGAGCTGGGGTCGATGTCCACGCCATGACAGACCAGGGCCATACCCCGCTCTTTGTTGCCATCATCCTCGGAAACCACGAGGGCGTCCGCGTCCTCCTTGAGCAAGGACACGTCGACCCCAATGGGAGGAATGTCCACGGAATCACCCCTCTCATGGCGGCGGCTGTCAACGGGCGCGTGGAAGCGGCGCGTATTCTGTTGGAACACGGTGCGGACCCCTTTGCGACTCAGGAAGATGGCTGGACGGCGCTGAGCATTGCCTTTTCCAAGAGCTGTACTGAGCTGGTGGAGGTTTTGACGGTTGCCATGCGTGAGCGGACGAATGGTTGAGTGGATAGTCTTTGTAGTGATGGCTTGAGGTACCTTTGTACTTCGTTGCCAATTTTGCACCTCTTCTGCCTCTCTGGTATGGACTCCTTGTAGTAGTATCAAAAGCAGCGCGGGGCTTTTGGGCAATAGATTAATACCCTTCGCGAAATGGCGGCAATTAGCTATTGTTGAGCATACTATTCTCTGGTTGTAGCACTGTCTGTAGAGAGGCTGAGAGAGTATCGTATCTAATCGTTGGGCGAAAACTGACCGATACCCTGGGGGGCTCTAACGTTGCCAAGTGCAAACATCCCTAACTATAGGATGTTTCGAAAGATCAGGTAACCTACTCTAAAAGAGACTAGAAACAGACTAAAATAACCTTTCAAGAGCAGAGAAGAGCTTCTTTTGGTGAAGTAAAGTGTATATGGGCCCTAGGGATCCAAGGCACATTCATCATTGCTTGGTGGCCGAGACATAGCAACGAACACTACAGTATCAATATAGAACAGTAAAGCGAAATGGAGAAAGGTACAACATACAACAATAGCGATTCGCATGCGGTCACCCACCATACTAATGTCTAACTGGCGTCTGGCTTAAACGCGGATAGAAGTCGGGCGGGTGCTGCTGGGTGAGGTTGTCGCTGTCTTCATCATCCAACAGAGGCAATTCCATCGCCAACGGCGGGATGCCATCAGCCAATCTTTTCACCACTAAGGCGTTTTTGTGATGCAGCCGCACGGGGTTTATTGGCAAAAGAAACGAAAGAGCTACGAGTGCCACGTTGGCAGTCTCGAGCGAACATGTCCCTAGGCCGGGGTATGATTTACTGTCGCGTGCACTAAAAGGCTAGTAGGAACATTCTTGGACGGGACTGCTCCGGGCCACCATGTATGTGTAAATCAAGTTTGAGAGCCAGTCTTCCCATCTGCACCTTTCCCTATCGACTCCCCATCTAAATCGACACTCCTCCAGACTCAAGGCAGACTAAATTCCCCGCGAACAGATCCGAGGTTCCACCGAACTACGCTCATCCATCCCTGGCATACCATACCTGCAGTTTTACTAGCCAACCCCTCCGCGCCACCATAGAGACTCGCCCTTCGCGATCATGAAGCGGCTTCCCGCCGTTGTCTATCAGCAGCTCGTCAGAAACGGCCACATTGCTGGAATTGGTGCCCTTTCGAAAGCCTGTATTGTTAACTAGGAATTCAAAGCGTGCACGTGTTGATGGTGTCTCTAAAGCCGCTATTCAGCCAGTCGGCACTGTGCACCAATCGCGCAGCTCGGGTATTAATATTGGAGGTGGTTGCAAGCAAGATAGCCGCAATATGCTGCAGAACCAATGGCTCACAAACCTTTACTGCCATGGTCAATGGACAGGCAGCACTGAACTACCTAGGTACAGTCAATGATCAACTATCCCTGGCTATCGCCACCAGGTATAAGAGCAAACATCGAAGTACTGATATAATTGTTAATTATCACCTTTCACAGTATGTTTTTTTAGATTCTATAGCCAACTACTGGTCTATCGTCACCCTTAAATTCTTGTACCCACTATAGTCAGACAAACTGTCTTGATATAATATCTTAACACTTGATGTCTGTAAAAAGCCCGACCAATCTAAGCCAATCCCAACTGCTTCAACAACCAAACCTCGCCATCGAAAACCCCCCCTTCAAACCCGGCCTTGCCATCTTCCCCCTTCCTAAAGAAATACACATTCGACACCTCCACCTTATCATCCACCCTCAGTGTAAGCCAGATAATTGCACTGTTTTCAGCAACGGCCTCGACGCGGTGTCCGATGACATCGAGGGCAAGGCCCTGGATTCTGTCCAACGGACCCGAGATAAGTTGGACGAAGAGCGAGGGGTCGGAAAGTTGGATCGGGGCCCCGCCGGCGAAGAAGGAAATGCTGGGGAGGTAGTAGGTTGAGAGTTTTGCGGCGCGCTCCGTGGAGGTTGGGAAGTTTGGCGAGGTGATGTCGACCGAGTAGGCGAGGATGTGTTTCTCGGCGGCCGTGGTGATGTTTGTGAGGTCTTGTTTGAGAAGGGTCATGGTGGGAATGGGTGGGTTGGGTATTGCTTTTGCTAAAGTTATAATCAAAAGATGAAGGGACAATGGATTGCTGATGCGGGATAGTGTTTAGTTCACTTGAGCGAGGATGCCTGCTTTTATAGTTCTTTCTCCGATGAGTTCACCCTAGTATATCGGTCGAATTCGGCCGATGCCAGGACCTGCAGTACACGCCATGTTGAGGGCAGTCTCCAAGGATTGTCGCTCCCTTTTTGACTTATTTTATGCTATTCCATAGAATAAAATACAGAGCACACACCAGGGTTGCGCACAACTCAAGTCATGGTTTCAAGTTATCAATCTTCACTCTTCCGAGTTTAGTTACAGCGTCCAATCGCCCGCCAAATCCGAGTTGACCAAGCTGTCAAAGAAAACCATGTCACTTTCGCGAAAGTCCCATTCATCGGTATCCGGACCGCCACTCAGACTGTCTGGTGCTGGAGGAAGATGGAAATGATTGCTGGAGATATGCAGAAGCGGTTCCTCTCCTCCAAGACTATTATCAGTATAGCCCTCTTCCTCATCCCCAACCATCTCCTGCTGTGTCCGTTTTCTTGAACGGCGAACCGAGGCCGAATCCACAACGGTCGCCGTCTCAGCGGACGTCATAGTCGGTGGTGCAGGTGTATGTCGAAGGACCGTATCATGCCCCGAGGTCGCCCCCAAAAGCCGCTCGCCCTGAATCGCCTGCACGGCAGCACCACTGCGCGCAACCCTGATAACCCCAAAGAATGGGATCTCAAGGCGCAGTCTATCCGATGGGTCACCCGGCTGCAAAAATCTTTGCAGCGTGCGGATGACTTGGATGCTCTGCGAACTGACAGGATTTGCAGTACTACTACCACTACTACTACTAGCAGGATGCCATCGCGTGCGCTTTTCAAAATTCGCCACAACCCGCTCCACAAGCTGAGAATCATCATTCCGCTCTTGTGTGATGGTCGGGCGCGCTCTTCTTTCGCCAGCTAGGAGTCCAAGGAGCAGCGTAATAGCCGCCGTGAAAGCCTGAAACTCTAGCAGATTGGAGAACAGAAGACTAGTGTGGCTCTCGCGAATTGAAACCCATCGTTTTACTAGATTCCTGGCTGCGTTGAGACATTTATTGCGCGAGTACTCGAATCCTCGCTCGTTGGTCGCACGCAACATGAATGGTAGATGAAGAAGTGTTACGAGTTCAAAGTGCCAGATTTGGCACATGATTCGCTCGAATTCGGCCGAAGACTCCCTTGTGCGAGTGGTTGCTATGGTGGTTGGTATCTCCCACCAGGCTGGTGGCATTTGCGCGGCAAAGGAATCAAGTTGCTCGCTGATTCTTAGAGTTGTGGAGAAGGAGTGCATGCTGTCTGCTTGGTTTCGATCAAGGATAAGGCCAGAGATATGGTATAGTTTCTTGTGATAGAGATCTTCCGGTGAGGCGCACGGAGGGTTGTTGTCTAAAGTAAAGACCGCTGAGGTTGTACTTGATGGGAGGCCGAGGATAGTTGACAGGTACCGTTCCTAGTTGTCTTTAGCAGGCCTCTATACAGAATTTAGTGACAACATTTACTCCTCGGGCTATTTGATACCACAGATGATGGCGTCTAGCTTCCATTGTATCCTGTGGCGCAGAGAGCGCCATTCGGTGTATGCCCAAGCACTGACCGACCGTGATGGCTTTTCGGAACAAAAGCCACGATCGTCGAAGGTTGCCAGCATTAACGGCGTACATTCCAAGGAGTGCGAGACATTCGACACCCTCCATACTCACAGTGAGTTCATCGTCAGAGGTGACCTTCTTGGTAATGAACTCGATTATCCCGCTTTCAATCTCGCGAACTGGTACTGCGGTCTGAAGTACTCGCGTATCCATCTGAGGTGGGAGCTGTTGAATGCAGATCGCGAGACAGAGCAGCAGTCTCGCGAGTTGGAGCGGGTGTCCTTTACAGACAGTTGAGACATTGAACGGCCGGTGTGTGACTTTCGTTATGTCTGGTAATTGCGGCATCATGTGTTGCTGCAGAAGCCACCACCCGTGACTCGAAGCGAATAAAAAGTCCACATCCGCTTGACAAGGCAGCATCGCAGCCAGCCGTTGGCGCAGGGAATCGAGCCTTTCCGTCGTTGCGTCGGTATCTTCGGCCTGCACCCCAGGCCCTTTCGACCTTGATGAGTCGGGCAGCGACCTATGAGCCACGTCGGTCGTTGCCACCATGGATGCGGAAGTCGATTCACCAGCTTGGCCCTGCATGATCCGATTCACCAGAGTCTCCAGTAACGACTCTACTCTTGCCACGCGCTGAGCCAGGGTCGGATCGTCCCCGGGTTGCGGCGAAGGATCATCCACATATTCGTGTTGGCTGAGGCACTTGGTGTCTCGTTCTCGACAGCCCGCACAAATCGAGATATCGTCCGGAGATGGGAGACACTTGACTTTGCGGCGCCTGCACTCCCAGCAGCTTCGAGTTCCCTTTCGGACGCCCTTTCGCCGGGGATTGGAGTTACTCAGCATGCTGATAGGACCTTTGAGGGATGATACTGCCGTAAATTCGTCATTTAGGAGCTTCACAGCTATTTCTCTGACCGCTGCGTTTTCGGTCGAAATCGACCGAATCCCACGCTAATGCGAGCGGAGAAGACGGATGAAATCCTTGGCCAATAACGTAATTCCCGGGCGATCGGCGCATCCCGGTCGGTCGGCGCACCTTCAAAATTTCCCACGCGTTTTCCACCCACATTATTTTTAGCAACCACCATGCCTCTAAAAGCGCGTTAATTAAAGCAAAACTTAGTAGAGCAAGAGGGTAGAATCTAACTTATAATACAAGCCCTAAAACATCGTGAAATCTCTAGTAGTTGTCAAGCTATAGAGGTTTTTAATATACTAGAAAGTATACTCTAGGCGCGCTTAAAGGGATAGCTATTTTAACTAGAACTTTATAATCTAAGCCTCTAACTTACTAAGGCTTAGGAAGAAGCTTTAATTAAATAGATTATATTAAGAGATACGCGTGGAACTCTACCTAGGCACTCATATATATAAAATAGCTAATATTCTCCTCTAAGAAGATAATAAGACTCCTATTAAACTAGTTAGAAAGAACTAGGTCACCTAGTTTATTAAATATTATAAATTAATTTAAAGCTACTTTACTTATTAATATAACTACTAAAGGGCTCTTTATAAAGATCCTAAGATTATTAATAATTAGTTTAAGATATTAAAAGCTATCTAAAATAATAATAGTATTCTAGATAAAGATATCTATAATTTTAATAAAACTAGCTTTACTATAGGCCTAATTATAACTATAAAGGTAGTTACTAGGAGTAAGATCCTAGGAAGACCTAAATTACTTTAGCTAGGCTAGTAAGAATAGGTTACTACTATTAAATATATTAATTTAATAGTGTCACGGGCCAGTGCCCGATATTGGACACGGGCTAGTGCCCGCGCACGTGACCTTGGCATGTTAATAGGAAGAACGTGCCTGGAGAACTTCCTTTCTCTAAGCTTTTTATATACAGTTCATGGCCTAGCTAGATTAAATATAAGTCTAGCTTCAGCCCTTTATATATAAAAAGCTTCTAATTCTTGATTATTAAACTAATAGAATAAAACGCAAATAAATAATACTTAAAATAATAATATACATAACGTGACCCCTAAACCCCTAGTGATTTAGTAATAGATATATATTAGAATAGAATCTTCGCGCATAATACTATAGTACTCACGGCATATTAGAAAAGCCCTAGAAGGATGATCTAGGTACTTATTAGAAATAACCCTAAATCTTAAGTAATTTAGTAATAGACGTATATTAGAATAGAAAATTCACGTATAATACTTTAGTACTTATAATATATATAAAAGCCCTAGAAGGTCCTATTCCTAGGTATATTAAAATATTAGAATAGAATATTAGTAAAGAATAGTAAGGAATAGTAAAATATCTAGTCCCTCTAGCTAGGCTTAGACCCTAATATAATAAATTACTTAGAGCCATGCTATGTATAAGAGCGCTATAATAGTATAGAATAAATAGAATATAGTATAAAATAAATAGATTAAAAGACTTAAGGTATTACTCTAGAATATATTAATTCCTAATAAAACACCACTAGACCCCTTATAAAGTAAAACTAAAGTTATAGAGGATAGAATAAGGATAGCTATATAACACCCTTAACTATAGCTTCTAGATCTAGTAATATTTATAGGAAGCTCTTCTAATTAGCTATCCTAGTAAATAATAATAGAAAATAAGCTAGTAGTAGATAGTAAAGCTATTAGGGGTCCTTAAGATTAATTTATATATATCTTCTCCTAGCTAGAGAAGATGGCCTTAAAGAATACTAACTTATTTATAAAACTATAGTAAAATAACTATAAGCTATAATAGCTCCTTAACTATCTTAAAAATATCTATAAGGACCTAAATATTAAAGTAAGAGTAGTAAGATAACTTTACTTAATATAGTAGTATAAGGACTAGTCCTTTTTAAGATTCTTATTATAGTTAGAAAAGGAATTTACTAATACTAGTACCTTTAAATAGCTAGATAAGTCTAAGTAATAAGTCCTACTAGTATTACTAAACTATAAGATAATTAAAATACTATAGTATTAAGGTATCCCTAGTACCTTCCTAGAGTTAATTATATAACTCTATAAGATTAGTATAAATAATAATACTCTAGATATTAATTATACTAGGAACTCACGTGCTATAAGAATAGATAATAAGATAGACTAGACTCCTACTATATAGATAAACTATACTAAGCTACGTATAAAACCCTAATAATTAGAGGCTAACCCTTAGAAGTAAGCATGATAGGTTAGCTAGGATAAACTTAATAGATAATAGGCTAAAGAAACATGCTTATAATATAGAAAATTAGATTATTTTATTATAAGCTATACTCTATTACTAGTATAGCTACTAAGTTATACACGCGTAGTAATAAGCTCTAGTAGGATAAAATATAAGCGTATAATATATATTAAGAAGGTAAAACCTATAAGTAATAATAAACTAATAGAAACCACTAATAATAAAAAAATAACTTTAAATAATAATTTAGGAAAAGAGTAGCTCCTATTCTAAGCTATAAGTAGAAGTAAAAGGGTATTAAGAAGCTACTAAAATATAAGACTTTACTATTTATAGTTAATATAAGAGTAAATAGAATCTAATTTATAAAAGCCCTTATTAATAGCAGCTATTACTACTATATAACTATAAATAAGTCTCTAGTTTAGGTACTTAACCTCCTATATATTAAGATACGCCTATAAGTCCTTAATAGAGTGGTGCTAAACTAGTACTAAATCACTCATGCTACGCATTTTAATCTTAATATACATGGCTACTAGCAAGGCCATGTATTCATATACATTATTAGACTATAGGAAGATAGCATGATTCTTAGAGATTCCTAGCTATATAATATACGTGGATGGTACTTAGCTAGGAAGGGGTATCTAGATATCTTTACTAAGGGAGGTAAATAAATAAGATATTAGAATCATGTGAACTATATAATTAGGCCTATAAATGTGAAAATACTATATATAGTACAGGCTATAGCTTATTTAATCTACTATTTAATATAGAGCTTAATAGTACTAAATTAGCTATATATTAGTAAGGTTTTACTAGATAATATTAAAAAAGTACTCTAACTAAAGAAGTATATTAACCTAAAGAATAAGCTATTAAAGTATTATTAGTAATAGGTAGACATCTTTAGCTAATAACTAGCTAATAAGCTACCTCCACACTAGCTAGGAATTAACTATAAAATACTACTAAAATAGGACTAGAATAGTATTAAAGAGTTACTACTATATAGCCCCCTCTATAGGATGAATAAGGAGGAGCTACTTTACCTATAAAAGATACTTATAGACCTTCTTAGAAAGAACTTTATATAAGTAAGCTAATCACCTATAGCTATACTAATCCTACTAGTCTAGAAGCTAGGTGGAGGCATATAATTCTATATTAATTACCATGGGTTAAATAAATATATAGTTAAGGATTACTATTCTTTACCCCTAATATAAGAGATACTATATAATATAGGCCATGCCTACTAGTTTATAAAGCTAGATATTATTACTACTTTTTATAAGATCTATATTTGTTGGATGGTGGAGGTCATATAATAAAATATATATTATATATACCTAGCCCTTGTATATACCTAATTAGGTATAGTGTGGCAACTATAAGAGTATATATAATAAAGAAGGATTTGCCACTAAATATGGACTTTGGTTTTTGATATTTTAGGATCTCTAGTTTTTAACTAGATACATGAAAGAATCACTTGCTTTTATACTTTTAATATGTATTAGTAGAATTCTATAGAATTATAGAATTCTTATTAATTTATAAGGAGATCAGTCCAGATCTTCCATATTTATAAGAAGATTAATCAAGACCTTTCCTTATTTTCATGTGAATATAGATACCTAATAATTTAGGCATTAATATATATGCCTTAGGCATCTATCTTCTGATAATATTTAACCTAGAGAAGAATAGAAGACGGCCTTCTATATATAATATAGACTTTATAAATAGAATATTACCCTATTTAGGCTAATAGGCGCGCTAGTAATCTTCTAAAGATTTATTAATTAGACTCTATAAGAGTATCTAGACGACTTTATATCTATGTATATTAATAATATAATCATCTACTTAAGTAGAATAGTAGTAGATTACTAATAAAAGGTTAGTAAAGTACTATAGAAGCTTAAGGACATAAGACTATAGTATAATATTATAAAATTAGAGTTTAAATAGTACTCTATAAAGTACCTTAGCTTTATTATTTAAGCTAAAAAGGGGGTCCATGTTAATCTAAAGAAAGTAGAAGCTATTAGGATATAAGAGATACTAAAGTCTATATAAGATATATAAAGTTTTATTAGGTTTATAAACTTCTATAGACTATTTATACTATAATTTATTAATATTTTAGCACTACTAACTAGACTAATAAAGAAGGATACTATTTTTAAATAAGATAATAGCTACTAGTAGGTATTTATAGAATTAAAGAACCTCTTTATTAATACCCTAATCCTCGTGTACTTTAAAGAGGGATGAAAAATAGTTATAGAAGTAGATACTTCTAGCTAGGTAATAGGCGTAGTCTTATCCTAGTATAGATCTAATAAGGAGCTATAACTATATACCTATTTATCTTAGAGGCTATCTCTAGCTAAGTTAAACTATAAGATTTATAATAAAGAGCTACTAGTAATTATATAAGCCCTATAGGAAGAGAGACTAGAGCTAAAGATAGTACCCTAATTTACTATTATAATAGACTATAAGAATCTATAATACTTTAGTAAAGTATAATACCTTAATAAATAATAGATATATTAGGTAGACCTTCTAATATAGTTTAACTTTAACCTTTACTACTATCCTAGTAAGCTAGCAGCAAGACTAGATATATTATTATAATAAAGCTAAGATATAC